CCGCCGCCGTCGCCGCCGCCACCCTCGCCGTCGCCGTTGTTTAAATTAGACACTTCTCGGGCAGCGGCCGCCAAAGCCCTTCCGGTACGACAGGCGCGTCGGCGCGTCGCCGCTGCTACAGCTGCGACCGACGGCGCCGCTATGACGGCGCCGGTCGCAAGGTCCGCACTGTACGACGTGGGTGCTGCGCCTGCTCAGGATGTGGTCTCCGTGCTCGTCGGCGCCGCTGTCGACGGCGGCGGCGGCGGCGGCGGCGGCCTTGGCGAGGAGGTGGGCGATCTAGTGTTTCTCGCGGCCCCGGTCCTGCCCTGCCGTCGCCTGGCAACGGTGCTCCAATGGGCTTCATGGGGCGCAGTGGCGGAGGGGGAAGCCACGATGGCCAATGCACCCACCGCCGCTGCGGCCGCCAGTACGGCAGCCGCGGTGGGCGGTGTACCGACCCATGGGTCCGTACGGCGCCGCCTGGCCGCCGTCTGGTATGACGTGCTCGACCGGTGGTTGGATTCTGGGGGTGCTGCGGGCGGCGTGTCGGAGGGCGGCAGCAACGACCAGGCGAGTGTCGTACAATCTGTACCGCATACGGCGATGGCGGCGGCAGCAGCCCTGAAGCCTCGTGGCAAATCCTCGGATGTGGAGCATGTGGATACTGTAGCTGAGGCTCCCGGGCTACGGCAGCAGCAGCAGAAGGAGGAGGAGGCGGAGGTGGATGTGCGGGCGGCGGCGGCATTGTTGGAGAGTGGCGAGCGGCTGGGCTGCACTGACCCACGGGCCGCTCAGGCGTTGTCGCGGGTGCTCGAGACGGCGCTGCAGGAGGCCGATTGGGGCTCGGTGGAGGACGAATGAAGCGGCTCGGCTCGGCTCGGCTGTATATGTGTGCGTGCGGGTCCGTTTGTGTGTCTGTGTGTGTGTGTGTGTGTCTGTGTGTGTCTGTGTCTCTGTATGTGCGTGTGTGTAAACAACCCTGTCGAGCACGGGCCCTCTCCTCGGACCTCGGGGGCCGCGAGAAGCTTCCAATTACCAGTTTATTTGTTTTGTGATTCTCGTTTGCATGTATCTCAGTTTAGCATGTATTTGTTGGGGACGGGCACGGCAGTGTGTACGGTGTGCACGGCAGTGTGTACGGTGTGCATACGTGTACGGTGTACGGTGGGCATTGGACGGACTTATCCTCCACACTGCAAAGGCTCTGAATTTGCTGCGCCCTGCACACACACGCACACCACACACAGCCTCTCACACACACATACATACATATAAACATACATGTTAGGGTGTGCATTCCATCTTTTTTTCCGTCCTGCATTGCATCACCTGCCCGGCCTAGGAGTAGGGCCTCTCACAGGTCTGGGCAGATCTGCTCCAGATAAGCTGAAAGTTAGTCATAGTGCATTAGTACCATCAGTAGCATCAGTTTGTTCGATGGGGCGCGTACGGCAGCCATCATCGTCTCATGCCATCCCGCCCCAACCCCGCCCCGGGCCACATGCTCGGTTTTCGGTAGGTCTGACACACATCAAGCTTTTGAAATTTTCCGAGTCTTCCGAATCTGCCGAATTTGCTGAGTCTTCCACGGGGAAAAGGAAGCCCTCCCCGGCAGTGGGGCGGTGGGGGACCCGGTGGGGGAATCGGCGGCAGTGGTGCTGCTGGGGGGCTGGGTGCGAGGTGATGACGTACGTACGTACGTACGTACATACATATATACAAACGCAAGATTTACAAATTCCGCACGAATGCGGGTTGCGGCCGTCAAAGCCTCTGAGGGGCCCCTTTGGCGGAATTATGTTTCATGTGAGGTGACGTGGCTGCGGGCGAGGCTCGTATTACCACCTCACCTCACCTCACCTCACCTCTGAAACGAAACTCAGGTTTATTTCAGGTCCATCTCGCACGGCAGCTGATGCACACCAACCTGATTAGAGGATATGGGTGCCACATGGCCACTTCGCCATTCCCTCCGAACACCATCCCCACCCCCCCCACATACGCAGTTACAATTTTTTAAATCTCCAAACGTTTCTGAGTTGCCCAAGACCTTCCCAACAGCTTTGCAGCGAGAGTGTTCCGGAATGGAAAACCAAATTAAGTGTCGAACGAACCGAAGTAAAAAACTCTTCGCTTTACAATAATCGTACAGATTGGATTCCTCCCCCTCAACCGCTACAGACTAAAGGAATACTTATAATCGACAAACATTTCAGTAACCGTCAGAATCAAAACCTGGCCAACATGCGCCTGTTCAAATCCTGCACCAGCCGCCTGTGACTGTTGCACGAAATTCCATCTGCCTCCTCCTCTTTCACGGCGGAAGCATCAACATCCGAAACCAACCAGCGAACTAGTCAACCCCAAGTTACGAACCCACACACACACTCAGGTGGTAAACAAAAATAAATCAAAGCACGCACTACCAGAAGCAGAAGTACAGACGCAACCAGCTTCGGTTCGTACAGGCCGTACCCAAGGTTCATATTACGTAAGCATTCTCTCCCTTACACTACTGTTGTACATACATACGGCCAATATATTCGTACACGTGACCAATAAAAACGTACAATTCCGCAACTCTCGGTCCGTAAGGACCCGCTGGGGACTCGAGGCTCGCATCATATAAATACAAAATAACAGAACCCCCGTGTGTGCGTGTGCGTGTGTGTGCGTGTGTGCATGTGTGTGTGTACAGGGGGGATAGCCCTCCGGCTGTTTCCGTGTTTTCCATTCCAGCTTTGTCGAGAGGTAAGCGCCCCCCGCCCCCCGCCCCCCCGCCTCCGGCCTCATTGAGCCGTTTACGGGGCACAGGCGCGCAACCGCAATTGTAGGTAGTCTCAACGGCGCCACATCCTTTCGGCGCCACATCCATACGCGGTATGCCTTATGGGATACATTACATCACGAACCCAAACGCGTGTGCGAGGGGGCCCCGGTCTGCATATGACTGACGTATGTGAACGGCAGAGAGGGTATGATTTATGTTTGCATGTATGTATGTATGTATATGTGTGTATGTTTGCATGTATGTATGTGTGGGTGTGGGTGTGCAGGGCCCCCGTAAGCCCCGCGGCCCTCTGCCCTCCGCTGCCCCCCTGAACGAAAATTACGCCGTACATGACCGACCGGTGCTGCCAACCGCCGTTCCCTCCACCCCCGGTCCACCTTGCCTCCCCTTTGTTTCAAATTCAAACGGAGATAGGCCGTACAATCGTACAAATGGGTATGTAACTTTCATTTGGGGGCTCTGGGTGCTCTGCGACATTCCACAAAGACACAAAGCCCACAGACACACATACAGACACACATACAGACACACAGGCACGCGCTCACAAAGGATATTTCCGCGCTTGTGGGTGTTTGTCTGTATGTCCTGGAAGCCCGCCTAAACACCACTTATGGGAGATGCCAGATACTTTTGGCATCTGTGTTTTACCTGCAGTACAGTCGTACCGTACGCCATAGCGACAAAACCTGTCTGGCTCATGCGGTGGGCCGCACCGTGTTCAGCTAAACGATTCACTACGACTCACGACACACCGCCGTGCCCTAAAACACACACGCATCGCGATACCCCTCCCCCCTCCCCCCTTTGCGGCCCTTCCCCCCTCCGCACCCTGCCGCGTCGGCCCGCCACCGCCGAAACCGACACGCTGTCTGGTAGCGGTTAGGGTTCCGCAACCGCCGCCCATTGGCCTCACGGGCGTAAGAACGCCACATCGCTGTCGCCGGCGGCAGGGGCAGTGACGGCAGTGACGGCGGCGGCGGCGGCGGCGGCGGCGGCGCGGCCACCTCCCCCCTCTTCCCCGCCGCTGGTCCCGTCGCCTCCACCACCGTTTCGGTACACGGAGAGGCCGTACATTCCCAAGTACTGGAACTTGCGAACGTGGCGACGGTAGTCCTTGTCGAAAATACGGGGAAACTGCCGTACAGTACGGCAGGGGTGCCGTACGAGACGTCCACGCATGAATGTGAACGTGAATGCGGGTGTACAAGTGTTTGCAAAAATGTGTGTATGTATGTATGTATGTGTGGCGCAGTGCCTTTGCGTGTTCACAGAGGGCACGTGACCCTCACACGTGTGCATGTGTGTGTATTGTGTACGGCAGGTGTATAGCTTGGTTCGGGGGGATTTGGGTCGAAGCTCGCTAGCATAATACAATCACAAACTGCTTACTACGAGATACTGTCCACTAGGATTACCTTTTCCTTCTCTCCACCATTACAGTAAGCCCCGATGGCCCCCCTTCCATACCCCTCCCCCCTTCCACCCCCTCTCCCCCCTTCCACCCCCTCTCCCCCCTTCCATCCCCTCTCCCCCCTTCCACCCCCCTCTCCCCTCCCTACCTCCCACACCAGCAGTCGGAGATTGTCCCCCCGGCACTCAAGACGTTCTAAGAAACGTAGTACAGGGTCGATGTCCCTTCGGCGGTCCAACAGCAACAGCTGCGGGTAGTAGCCTGTGCGGGCGAGAGATGGAGAGGTGGTCTATTAGGGCGGTTGTTGTCGTATTGTTGGTTGGTGAGGTGGTTGGTGGTTGGTGCCGTGCCGGATGGGCGTCGAAGGATGGAGGTCGTTGTGCTGTAGAGGGTAATGACGGGATGGCCGTGGATTGGAAGGGGTGTACGACAGCAGCGAAAAAATCGACGTACGACGGCATAAAACACACACATATACATCTTACATTCTCGCCAATTCCTGGCCCCCCCCTGGCTCCAACGCCTCACAATCTAAGACTAAAACCAATCACCACAGCCCCCATTCAGACAAACTCCCCCCGTCGCGAGCAGCACCCAACTACCCATAACTACCTCTAACGACCTCCGTTTGCGTCACACTCTGAGAGCCGCACCCCGTCCATTCCTCCTCCTCGTCCTCCTCCTCTAGCTGACCACCCACTTTAAAAACACACATTACTGAAATTACTCAAGATAAAACAGCAGTGGACTCAGCGGTCCGCACTTCGTAGACCTTACCCGCCCAGATCAGGGTTTGAACAGGAGACCCTACCCCCCCTACCCCCCCCCTAACCCCCCTCACCCTACCCCCCCACCCCACCCCTCGAGAGGACTGCACCCACCGATGATCCGCTGCGTGATATCCTGGTTCCTCCAGCCCATGTTCTTGAAGAACAGCATGCAGCTGCCCGCGGTGAACACGTCCCCCTCCGTGAGCAGAGAGGGGCAGTCCGTCAACAGCTTGGCGAAGCCGTCCGGGGGGAGACCGAAACCCGCCACGAAAAAGCTGTGCCTGAACTTGTGTGCATGGGTGGGTGCGTTGGTGTGGGCGTGCGTGCGTGTGGGCGTGTGGGCACGTGTTGACGTTTTAATGATCGGAGCCGCTAGCGTGTGTGATGCGTGTGGATGTGTGTAGATGTGCATGCGTGTGTGCTCGCGCAGACTAGGGTGGTTGGAGGGGGCGAAGAACGAGGAGTCCGCGGACTGATGGTCGATGGTCTTTCGTTCGAGTGTCCGTGTGGACCAGGTAAACGTAGGTGGCGGGACGAGTTGGGAATTGACAGGGATAAGAGATAGGACGGTGAGAAGATGTGAAAAGAGGTTTATGTTTCGGATTTTTTTGCTTTCCGTTCCGCGGTTGCGCGAAAGGCCTTTGGCCTTTTGCGGCATGAAGGAAAAGCAGCAACAACACGGATGCGGGCACGCGGGCAGATTCGCGTGCACTGCGCTTGGGGAAGCCCATGGCGCAAAAGAAGGTCGTCAATTGCGCCAAGCGCTCTTACGGTGTCAACAGGCTCACCAGCGCTCAAGGTCCGCAGAAAGAAGGGATGGGTTGGCGAGAAGTGCTCTACGGACGCGTTCCGCGCCACCTGCGCCGTGGACTTTTTGAAGCACATCGATGTTCTTGCTCCAGCGCTGAAGGTCGACGGGCGAGGGCTCTGCAGGTAGCGCCAGAACGTTTATGATCTCGTAGATGAGGTGCTCTAGCTGGGGTCTGCGCGATGGCTGCAGGTTGCAGACGGAGTGCTGCGACGATGAGACATGCCAAGCCCTAGTTATCACGAGACGGCGTCGCGGCCTTTGACTGGGCTTTTGATGTCTAAGTTGGCAGTTTGAAAGGTGACTGCGCATTATGCCAGCTAATAAGATACGCAGATATGCCTATTAACTTGTGAAAGGACTGTTGCGAACAGCCATGGTAGTCAAAACGTCCCTCCGTGATCAAGTGATGACAAAGAAGGCGATACAAATGAACTTGCAACAACTTTACACTTCTAGCCTGTCAAAAGCCTTGTGAATCCTGGTGCCAAAGGAAAACATTCTGTTGCATGCCGTACTGCAACCGTTCTGAGCGCTGTGGTGTCGTGCTCGAGGCTCGAAGACAACTAATTCGTGTCCGGTCCTGCATGCAATACGAAGCCAATATGTGAGCGCCAGTAGCTTTAGGAGGCGCTGGTTAATCTAGCTGCAAGCTCGGTGCAAAGCTTCCTTGAAAAGCGGCCGCACCAGCTGCAATGTTTGTTCCCTCTCGTATTGCGTCAATCATGATCGTGCTATCCGTCGGGTTGACAGCCCTTTTACTTGGTGCATGGTACACCGGATACGTCGCCTGCCGCCAGGTGTGAGCTTCCTTTTGTGGATTATTTTTCACAACATCGAGTAAATTATAGCATTTTACATGGTTTTGTTTGCCCAGCGGGTAACATCCTTCCGTTGCGACAGCTCCTTCCCCCCCGCCCGCCGATGACCTAGCAGCTGCCGCGATGCCATCTAGAATCACATATACAAGTACAGATACAGGATATCGGTAATGAATTGGCAGCTGCCCAACGCTTGTGTGCCGCAGCAACTCCTTGGAGGTCAATTGGTCTTATGAATCCGCCTCCCTCTGTCCAACCCTCTATTTTCTCCCCCGACCCTGTCATACAGCCACACCGTCACAACTACGGAAACCACCTTCCGTGAGGACCCCCCCTTAAAGCGAACACCCTATTTGTTGTCATGCCAACCTCCACTTCATACATCTCCACAACAACGAATCTTCCCCTCACATCACAAACTCTCTCTGAGGTCCTGATGCGCCCTTCTCCTCGTCCCTCCGCCTCCCTTTTAAATTCTCAATCTCTGGTCTTTCCTACAGGCTCACAGCAACCCTGATAGCAACGGCAGTTCCTCCTCCTCTTCCTCCTCCTCGTGCGCACTATTTCGTCACTTAGGTGGCCAGGTGGTAACGCGGGCACCGCCTAGCCCGACATCTTCCCTAGCAGCTGCAGGCCGTGGCCGCGGGCGTGGCCGCGGCGGTCGAGCCGCCGGCACCTTCGCTGGCAGGGGAAAGCCGTCAAATGTGTTAATACACGGCAGTAAACCCTCTTCTTCTTCTTCTTCTTCTTCTTCCGCCGCCGCCGCCACGGAAGCGGCAGCGGTCCCGGAACGCTATGCCGTACTCATCGACGCGGGCAGCTCCGGAAGCCGCGTCCACGTGTACAGCTACCGTCCGGCGGCGCGATCCCGCCGGGGCCACACGGCAGCAGCTACGGCGCCGTACCCTGTCGTACGGCTTCCGGGTCAGATTCATCGGGTGACCCCGGGGCTGTCCGAGTTTGCTCCTGAGGGGGAGGGAGTGGTGGAGTCCCTCCAGCCTCTCATCACATTTGCGCAGCAGCAGGTGAGGAAAAGAGGGAGGGAGGGAGAGAGGGAGAGGGAGGGAGAGAGGGGAAGAGGGAGGGAGGACAGACGGAGGAGAAAACGGAGGAGTCGCTGTCCAACCAAACCTATATACTTACCAGCCAAAAAACGCGTTCCTCTTGTACTATCCTACCCCCCTTCCCTTCCGCGCCTCTCTCCACACGCATCCCCACATCACACAACACCTTCCCTTCCCACGCCCGCTCGTGGTTCGTCTCCCCCCCCCGCCGCCGCCGGGGCTCCTCTTAGGTTCCCCCCCGCCTCCACACCTCCACCCCCATCCGCCTGCTGGCCACCGCCGGCCTCCGGCTGCTTCCCGAGGAGCAGCGGGAGGCGGTGCTGGCGGCCGTGAGGGCACTGCTGGGGGGAAGCGGGTTTCGGTTCCGAGCGGAGTGGGTTCGTGTGATCTCGGGGGATGAGGAGGGGCTGTTCGCGTGGGTGGGGATAAACTACGCGGCGGGCAGGTTGCAGGTGAGAACTGGTTGGGGGAGGGGAAGGGGGAGGGAAAGAGGTGATGGTGGAGCGGTGTGTGTGTGTGTGTGTGTATATCGGTTTTTGGGTCAATGCAGAGCTCGTGCAGACCTTGCTTGGATTGCTGAATGCAGGTGCCCCTTTCGGGTGCTCCATACACCAATCCACGCGAAGCTCATTAAACACATACATACATACGTACATGCGCACATGCGTACATACATACATACGCACACGCACACCATCCGGCCCTCACTCTCTTATCCCGCTAAGGCACTCCCTCACACCCTCTTTCCCTTTTCCCCCTCTCCCCGCCCTTTCAACCCCCCCACTCCCCCTCCCTTCCCCCTAAGGCACTCGCTCGGGAGGCGGCCTCCAGCCCCCGCCGCAGGGACCCGGGGGTGATGGCGGGGAGGGCGGCGGCCACGACACTTGCCGTACTGGAACTGGGGGGAGCGTCCATGCAGGTCGGGTGGTGTGTGGGGGGGGGGAAAGAGGGGAAATGGACGGAGAGGGGCGTTTGTGTGTGTGTTTTTATGTATCTCTCAAAGTTCCCTGATTCGCACACAGCATGCATGGCTCTTTGCTCTGTCCGCGTTAGTTTAGGATGGAAAGGCAGGCCTCTAGGTCCCTAGGTTCTTCTAGTTGGGATTTGAAGCGCCCTTGTTGTCTGTAGTTGTCAGCAGTTGTACTAGCTAGCCGCCCACCACCACCTAGTCGCCCTTCGTCACTACGAGGTGCGGCCCTTAGGGTTTTCCGCGGGCCCCTGACATGACTCTCTTCTAATCTAATAATAACACCATCAACACCTACTTGAAAATTCCCGCAAGGTCTACAGTTTCGCTGGCTGACTCTACCACATGTCGCTGTTGGCAATTCGGAGCTCATTGCCACCATTGCCCATCGCCATGTCCCTTACCGCGGCTCCAAAGACCATCAAAACACACACTCACACACACTCACACACACGTGCACACGCCCCGCGGCACCCCGGCCACATTACCACCCACTCACCCGCGGGCCCCCACCGAGACACACACATACATACACATACACACACGCCCCGGGTCCCCCCTCTCTCCCCCTCCTCTCCGGTCAGTTCTACGTTTGGTACACTCTTGCCCTGGCAGCAGCTTCACTCGTGTGTGGTTCGTCTTTCCCCTCTCTCCCCCAACCCCCCGCAGTTGACACTGATGCCCTGGGAGGCCCTGCCCCGGGGACTGGGCACCCGATTGAAGCTACCCGGTGTGTGTGGGGAAGGGGGGGGATCATATGACAGAAATTCAAAGGAGATAACCTGCCCCGGCATCTGAAGGGGGAAGGGGAGGGGATGGGTTAAGACGAACCACGGGCGAGTGGTGCTGACACCAGAGATACGCGGGTAGTCCAGGATTAGGTTAGACAGATACTGCATCAGGAATGTTTGTAGGTCGCGGACCAGGGGGGGAAATGGGGGGGAAGGGTTTTGTATGCGTGTGTGAGGGTGGCGGTTGTGTGGATGGCTGGGGCGGGGAGGGCCCTGGGCCAGAGGCTGGGCCTAGGACGTCGCCCGCTACACCTCACTACCCTCTCCCTGCCGGACGTTGCTAGCTGCCCCTTTTTGCTTCTTGCATTGCATGCGGTATTGGGGGAGGGGGAATTCCTTTCTCCTCTTCCTCCTCTTCCTCCTCAGGCAGGGGTAGTACGCAGGCAAGCGCCTGGCTCTTGCTGTCGGGATTACACGGTCCACAGCACACCACGATAAAACGTAATGGGTGTGTGTGTGTGTGTGTGTGTGTGTGTGTGTTTTAGTTCCTCTCGGGGTGGGCACTCTCCCCCACCCGGCCCTCTTTTGTACGGCACTTCATCGCCGCCCCTACTTCTATCCCCGACCCCTCCCCCCAGGGGTGGATCGGCCCCTCTACACACACAGCTTCCTGGGGTACGGCTTGCAAGTACGTTTGTACGGAAAAGATTACACGGCAGTAGCACTGCAAATCAGCAGTAGCCCCGCGTTGGCGTGCGTATGTAGGGATATGCAACGTGTTGCTGTGTGCCATCATAGTATCGTACACACGTACAGCAATCCATACATATATGTGCCGGCGGTGGTTGCGGTTTTGTACGAGAATACCGTTGGCGCCGGTTGCGTCGTTCACTGCCACCTTCCCTCTCTCTTCGGACTTGTCAACCCCCCGTCCCCCCCGCTTACGGCTGCACTACCGCAGCCGGGCCTCGCTCAACACAACCAACAACCAACTAACAAAACCGATTTGTACGACAGGTGGCATGGTTTCGGGAGGCCATGCTCGTACAGCAGGGGGGCGACAACGCCACCGACCCCTGCCTGCACCCAGGGTGAGTGGGAGAGGGAGGAGGTGAGGGGGTGGGGAGATATTGAAGGGGTGGGGGTGGGGGTATTTGAAGGTACCTGCACCTCCCGTGCCTCTTCCCCCGTCCGCCGTTCTTCTTACATAACCTCCCTTGGAGTATCCGCGTCTATGTCTCTGGTATCAGCTTCACTCGCCTGTGGGTCGCCTCCCTTCCTCCCTCCCCCCTTTCCCCCCACACACATACACATACGCACCTCACCAACTAGACTGCGTCAACAGCGGCCCTTTGCTTTTCCCCAACCCCCATCCTCACCCTGCATCATGTACGGATTCCCTCCATCCCACCATACCCATCGCCCGGGCCCCACCTACAACTCCCCCTCCCCCTTCCCCTCCTCCCCCTCCCCCTTCCCCTCCTCCCCCTCCCCCTTCCCCTCCTCCCCCTCCCCCTCCTCCTCTCCCCTCACCCAGCTACTCATCCTATCAGTCGGGTGTGGTGGGCAGCGGCTCCTTTGCAGACTGCGCAGCCCTGGCGGAACAGCTAATCATGGTGAGCACTTCGTCCGCTACCTCCACAGCCACCGCCGGGAGTAGCAGTAGCAGTAATGGCGGTTGTAGCTACGAGCGGTGCTCCATTGGTGGCGAGTACTTGCCGCTGCTGGCCCCTGAGAAGCGTACGGGAGGGTACGGCAGCGCTGCGCTGCTGGATCCGGGATCTGGCGGTTATTTGATTATGGCAACGGAGAGCTTTTACTTCACTATGGATGTGAGTCTGGTGGTGTGTGTCTCTATGTGTGTGTGTCTGTGTGTAGGGGATGATGTAGGATGGGGACGCAGATATACATACATACTTACTCGTTGACCGTACCGCACCTCTTTAGTCCCCTTGACCTTTCCCCCTTCCCCACTATCACCCCCGTTATGCTCCCCTCCTCTCTATCCTCTAGCATCAACTCTCCCCCCTCGGGGGCCCCCCAGCGCCTGGAGAGAAGCTGGGCCCCCCCAATCCCCCTAGCCTTCTCCCCGCCCCTTCCACGCCTTTCCCCCCTATGCCCCCACCCTTTTCCTCTTTCTGTGCCGTACAGCGGTTGGGTCTCCCCGCCAACGCCTCCCTGGAGTCCCTCCGTACGGCAGGCACACGGTTTTGCTCCCGCCCCTGGAGTGATGTTGAGCAGGAGCTGGTGGTGGGAAGAGGTGCGGCCCCGCCCCACCTGGTCAGATAATGCTCCTGTGGGTCCTGTGGGTCTTGTCCTGGTTTCGGTTTGGGGGTATGACGATGACATTGATGACATTGGTGGTTGTGGCGGTTGCAGGTGTGAGTGAGGAGCACATCCTCAAGGTGTGTTTTGGATCCGCCTACATCTACACGCTGCTCCGCCAGGTGGATGGGTGGGTGGGTGGGTGGGAGAGGGTAAGGGGGGGATAAGGGGGGCGGGGAGGGGGGAAAAGACGAACCACGTGAGCGTGTGTGAAGCTGCTGCCAAGTGGGGAAAGAGTGCTGCGGTGGCCGATGTACAGGACGGTAGCAGAACTAACCAAGGGAGGAGGGGGGGGGGAGGCAGTTGGATCGGGTTATGCCGTGTGCGCGTCATGGGGCTCAGGGCTCATGGGCCCCACCTCGTGGCGGACAGCCCCTGCATGAGAAGTGCTTTGATACCAGATCCGAGTGGGGAGGGCTGTGTATATGTTGTGTGTTGTGTGTTTGCGCGTGTTATGCGGGTGTGACGGGGGTTAGAGATGGACCTACAGACCTACAGACCCACAGAGAGAAAATCAAAATATTCTTTTCCCCTTAACCCTAATCTGTTGCTTCTTTGTCTCTTGTCATGTGACTACCCCTCCCCCCCCCACACACACCACGTACGTACATACGTACATACATACACACACGCGCGTGTGTCAGGGGTTCCACATGGGCCCCCGGGAGGCGGCGTACCTGAGGTTCTCTAATGCGGTGGAGCGACCTGATGGATCCAGGGTGGGTGATCCGGGGGGGTGGTGTTGGGGGGGGGGAAAGAGGAACCATGAGCGAGCGAAGCTGAGGGGGGGGGTATAGGGAGGGAAGGGAGTGTATGTGTATGTGTATGTGCATGTGCATGTGTATGTGTATGTGTGCGTTCCTTGAGGGGTAGCACGTGTTTAGGCTTTCGCATCCGACACCCCTCTCTTCATGCCATCCCGCTGACACAACTTGGTGAATATCCGTTAGCCGTTAGCCGTTAGCCATATACCGCACAGCCTTATGATAAAATATACCGTTGGCAGTTAGACTTTTGCGCCATGTGCCAGTTAAGACTTTTGCGCCTTATCACCCATGTGCCCCATTCGCCCCTCCCCCGCCCCCGCCCCCGCGGCAGGTGGAAGTCAACTGGGTCCTGGGGGCCTTAATGGTGGAACTAACGAGCGCCACTAACCAACACAACCAACATGCCGCCGCCAAGAAACCGCAGCCAGTTTTGGAGCGCCCTGCCACAGTTGCGGCGGTGGCGAAGGCGAAGGCCAAAGGAGTTGTAGCGAAATCATCATCATCATCAGCAGCAGCAGCAGCAGCAGCAACAGCAGCAGCTGCGGGTTCGAGCTCGAAGCTGGTGTTGGGATCCGGGAAAGGGGGTGGCATGGCGAAGGGCGTGGGAAGAGGGAAAGGGACTTTGACGACGGTACGGCAGCGGTTGTCACAGCCGCCAGTGCCACCGTCACGTGGTACGGCATCGTCGTCGTCGGCTGGTACGGCAGGAGGTACGGCAGGAGGTCGAGGCTCAGCGAGGTGGTTATTACACGTGCTGCCGGTGCTGCGGGTGCAACAGACCCACACCGCTGTTGCATTTGGATTACCCGCCGCCGGCAAGCAGATGGCCTCAACCGCCACCACCACCACCAACAGCAGCAACAACAACAACAGCAGCAGCAGCAGCAGCCAAGATCCCGTCAGCGTCAGCAGCAGTAGAGGCAGCGATGGTGGTAGCAGCAGCCGTGGCAGCGGCTACGGCGACAGCAGCCGCCGATGTACGGCACTGGCAGTCATCATGCTGTGTGCGTCGTCTGTGTTGGTGCTGTACGGCGCTGCTGGCTTTGTTAGGCGCCCTTGGAGGGACCACCACTGCAGCCGCCGTTGCTGCCGCCCCGTTTCCTCCTGCTCTTCCTCCTCCTCATCATCATCATCATCACCATCATCATCATCACCATCATCATCATCACCATCATCATCATCATCAGCAGCAGCAACACACCGATGCGAAGAGGAGGAGGAGGAGGCGGCTGGGGGTGGAATGGGGGGAGGCCGAAGGGGAAAGGGGCTAATAGCAGGCGTTGTTAGTGCATTTGGTGGTGACCATCGCTGCAATGAGCATGCATCCACCAGCCATATCAGTGGAGGATTTGGCGCGATCTCCTTCTTGATGAGGTCGTGCTTCAAACCGACCACAGCGTCCTCCAGGACCCATCGAACCGCTACTACCTTCAGTGCCTTGGTGCCCCCGTCCCACGTCCTGTCCTGGCGCTGTCAAACGTGGCCTGCTGCAAACCCGTGTTGTTGATGCTGACTGGACCCCACCACCACCACCACCACCACCACCACCTCTACCACCAAATGCATGGTTCTTAGCACACACGATCAAGGAAGTCGCTAGGTATCAAAAACATCAAAAGCTGCCAAATGGCGAACTTAAGTGTGAGGCGGCTTAACAGCCTTGCGTCACCAGCCTTGCGCAGGGTGATGGCGAAGGTAATAAGAGTGCAGTGGTCCACTTTCCCCCACTCGACAACCGTGGTGCCGTGGTGTAGTACCTGAAGTGGTGGAAGATGGAGGATCAGGGTGCGGGTCCCCGTGAGCAGCTAGCTCCCTCCCTGCGCCCGGTGGCTTGGTGGCCATGTGCACCAGAAACTTAAGGTATACCCCAAAAGGTTGAAAACGGGGCACCCTTGGAGCGGTCCTAACAATCTCTTAATGAACCTCTGAATGCCACATTCTCGTATTCGCCGTATTGGGCCGATGGGCGTCGGTGATCACCAGAGTAAATATAAACATCCCAATGTTTGCGTCTTTTGGAGGCTGAGCACCACAGCGGCATCCGCATGAACAGCGCACCGTGTTCCCCGTTTTTGTTATTTTGCTTGTGTGCTTGTTATGGCCCCCCACGCTGAGCACGAGGTTCAGGGTGCGGACTGACCCACATAGCAGCCGAGCTTTTTTCAAGCTTTTTTTCCCCACGGCTCCGCGGGTGCTGGCTCCTGCACTCCACTTTGCACTCCCCTTTGCACCCTTCAGCGACATGCATATGACCTGGCTCCCTTCTTTGCTTTGCTGCGGAATGGCACACACACACACACACACAGTCCTGCCCGCCCTTTGCTGCATACTTGACGCACTAGACGCACGTTTCCATCCGCTTGGGGGGGGGCAGGTGATGGGGGATAGTGGGGGGGGAGTGAGGCAGCAGCCCCATGAGCCTGCACGCACGCACGTACACTGGAAACCCCACATCGCCACCGACATGTGGTCATGGTAGGGTTGAGCGGTAGAGCCCTGACATCTGAAAGTGTGATGCAAGAGTCTGAGTGAGGGTGCCTGTCCTTTGATGCATGCGACTATGAGAATATGTGCGTAAGGAGTAGATACTACATATGTATGTGCGTAGGTAGCATCATTGCTGGCGAAGAATGCATCGCGGTGAATGTGGTGCTGAAACCTCCGTTACACGATCCCCACCCATGTGTAATGTAGACAGAATACATACATACATACATCAGCAACACACACACAGTCAATCCCCCGTAGTCGTGTGCAGTCACACGCACCTACACACATACACCTTTGTAGACCTATACCGCTGTGTAAATACCCCTAAAAGGCGTCCGGCGGTTCAGGCTCTGTGTCGAGCAGGAGAGGGGACATCGACACCACACGCCCCTAAAGGAGGGGGGAGGAAAGTGCTTGTTGGCGGCCTTGTTCATTGGGGCGGGGTAGCAACCCCTGGCCAGCGTCAGGCTCTGCAAGACATAATTTTGATAAACATATAGACACACACACACATACACACAACACCAAGTGTATATGTTAAGATATGCCCCCACATTCTGAGGCTCGTACTATTGACAAACCGCATGCATGCACAGAGCCAAAATGGTACGACATTTCTTCCCTTGTACAGCAACACCAATATACCATATATACACCAAGATCGGTCGGTCTGCAGCATGGGCAGCCGTGAAGAACACAGAAAGGTCACGAGGCCTTCCGAATCTGAAACCATCTGCTTTAAACAACCTGCCGGGCGGGAAGCTCCTTCCTCAAGATGAGAGCAGAAGCCAATTCAAAGACGAACCACCAGCAGGCGTGTCGTACATCGGATGGTACTGCCGTACGTGGGGTTGCAGCATCCCAGTGCCGGCATACACGACTACCCAACCGATATCAGAATTGCATCGGGGCACAACTTTCTGCCGTATGCATGGGCACATTCGCAGGATGCCATCATCAGCCTGAGACGTGGGGAAAGATACGGGCGGATCCCGAATTGATGACAACTAGAAAAGTAAAATATCCCGGTAGCTTCATGCCAGCAAGATAGATCAGTATCCTAACGTATGCAATCGGTCCAAAAGCCTCCCACCCAGCAACAATAACAACAACATTTCCTTTCTTTGGAAACATCGTTTAAAAAAAAGTTTAAAAACCAAACTCAATCCCTTATCGCCTGTGGTGGTTGACATCCTCTTGCCGTCTGAGGCACGACGCCCACACACACAAGTTTATACACGACCATACAACTGACAACAGCAACCACACTAACCAACAAACCAACCACACCTCCTCAAGGCCTGACGCCTCTTGCAGACGCCAACAAACGAGGAGAACGAAAATCGTCGACCTTCTTGATTATCAAAAGCAGTGCCCCTTGCAGGTGACCCCGTACAAGCCAACCACCAACCACCCGAGAGCCGCATGGGGCCCTCGGGGCTTTAGTCCCTGGAAAGATCTTCTTTCCACGCGTGAGCATTGAATCTATTGAATCTACCACCGTCCGCTGCGGGCGGATTATGGCATAATCGGACATTTCGGAGGCTCTTGAGGCACTTTTTATTTCATTACCCTGTTGTACGGAAGTGTACAACAATGCTGCGCACTCGAGGCTGCAGTGGCGCCATCGTCCATTTACAGGGGCGGTGAGGTGCCCAGAGGGCGTGTGTGTGTGATGGCAAGAGCAGTACGACCTGATACATGATCTGATATGCTTTGATGTGCATAAGAATGGTGTACGACATGCAGGTGCTTTCAATGACCCCCAACAACATCACACCAGCAGCATCAGCCAAGCCCCACGCGCAATATCCGGTTTGGCCTTTGGCTCAACAATTTGATCACAACACAACAAACAAATAAAAATTTTGTTTTGCTCTCAACTTCCGCCTGAATGCGAGAACGGCCTCTTCTATAACCACACGTACACTTGCGACCACCACACGCACTCTCGTATTCGCTCATTTCGTACTCATTTCGTACTCATTTCGTACTCATTTCGTACTCATTTCGTACTCATTTCGTACTCATTTTGGACATGTCCTTCTGCCCGTCCCTCCCTCCCCTTCTTTCCCTTCCCCCCTCCACGCCATCAGCATCAGAGAAGCACTTAAGCCGCCCTCCAAGCCGCCCTCCCCCCATTCACATCCTTCAAATCAGATCAACATCAGATCTCGTATCCGAAGTTCCAGTATCCACGTAACACCACAACCACCTTAAGCAACCAATCAACCGACCAACTTCCCAATCAACCAATCAAACTGATCAGCCAACAATTAAACCACCTCATTGCACCTATGTCGCGACCGTAAAAAGATTGGGATTTGCAAAAGCAGCACTGCGTTATGTCATTCAATGACCTTGGTTTCGATGACGGCCTGGGCGCGGGGGAGACCTACAAGATAGACCTGATAGCCTGACCTAGGGTCGGATCGCACCGACCGCAGATCGGATCGGTACTCTATAACAACAACAGCAGCCGCGATCTCGTGATACGCGACCTGTACGACACCACGGAACTGCAGTTTTACGCTTTTTTCCGGGCAAAAAAAGCATCAGACAACAATAACGCTAATCAAACTAACAGATAACTAGCAGATAAAGGAACAACAACAGCATATGCAACAAATTATTATTGCTGTTATTACCTTTAACTGTTCTCATCATTGGTGGTCCAAAAGCCGTCGTCATCCTCGGATAATTGAGTTTTTTTTGGAAAAAGTATCTTCTGTGAACTAAAATACGAACCTCACTGCGCACTGGCACATACATGGATTCAAAAATAGTTACCGATATTATGTGTATTATATGTATTATATGATGTATGGGACAGGGGGGTCATATCTTCACCCTGCGGCCGCTACCCGGCAGACCCTGCCTTCCCCGGCATAGATCGGGGCACCCTCATCCAGCCACCCCCTAGTCAACTTCTCAGTGGATCGCTCTCAGGTTCAGCACCCACCACCGGCATCCGCCACCGGCACCCACCACCGCCGCTGCAATGCCGCCGGGGACATCGGCGACCTCCACTGCCCTGACCACCACCACCGCCACCACCGCCGGCGTTCCCTCACACACCGCCCGCCGCCGCCGTCGTGCAGCTCGCCTTATTACTGGGTTTTATGCTCGCTGCAGTTACTCCAGGCGCCGCAGCCCAGTCCGCCGTCGCCCGCCGTCACCCGCTGCAGCAGCCCCTCGGCGATAGCGAGCGCAAGGCCCTGGTCGCTGATCCCGGCGGCCAGAGCGGCGGCGGCGGCGCCTCCGCCTCCGCCTCCGCCTCCGAAACCCGCCGCCACCCTGTTTCCCGCCAAAGGCCCTCCTAGAAGCATATCTTGCAGCTGAGCTACAGAGCTTGACATCTGACATTGGTGCGTGTGTGAGTGTGTGTACGTGCGTGTGTAAGTGTGTGTGAGGAAGGGGGGTTCAGGAGGGGGAGAGAGTCGGGATTATCTCCTCAGTCAGCGGTGTGGTGGTTTTACTGGTCTTACTGGAGCCCCGATGAGGGGGAGATGCCGATGTTAGGGCGGTAAACATACAGGAGACTAACTCCGTATAGTCGTTGTTTTGGTTTGTCAAGTGTGAAGTCAACGGATTCCGTCGACTGTTCGTTCCTTATTGGGCTTCACGACAGTGACGTCATGCAGCAGGCCTCCGTACTGACCAGCTGACCTCAAGTCTCAACATCCTATCTATCAGTCACCGCACGCAAGGCGGCTCTCAGGACTCGCGAACCACCCCCCCCCCGCCAAAACACACTCACCCAACGGCACCCCACGAAAACTCGACGACCCCACAGTCCCGAATCTATACCACACATACTCACGCAAATACACACACACAACAAACACACACACAACACCACACATACACAACATCACACATACACTCACACACACGCTCACGTACATAAACACACACACCTGTGGAATTCGTTGCACCGTTTGACTCGGAGTATGACCAACAGCGGTGCTACGAAGGTCTGGCGCCGCCGCCGCAGCTGCAGCCGCAGCTGCAGCCGCCGCCGCCGCCGCTGCATTCGCCGCCGCCGCCCCGTCACCTGGCGCAGCGTCCTGCTCCAGAAGCGAGTCCCGCCAGAGGTACGTCTACGGCAAAATTTAATAATATATCGGAAATGGTTTTGGCAGATGATGTTTTGGCAGATGATGTTTTGGCAGATGATGTTTTGGCACATGATGTTTTGGCACATGATGTTTTGCAAAACAGATCGATGTACAAAAGCACGAAGCATCCAATCGAGGATCCTCGATCGAGCCAAGGGAAAGCAGCAGCTAGGGCGGGAGAGATTCATCGTGTGTGCGTGTGTGATCATCATATTGTTGTTGGGAGGAGGTTTCTGGGCCGCTTGAACACATTGGCATTTCTACGATTTATAACCATACCACACACCATCCACCATTACCACACTGTACTACGCCATACGAACTGCAAGCCCAAGGCGGTTGATCCTGACCTCTCTAAGATCCCTCCTCATCCAGCGTGTGTATATATGTATGTTTGTATGTGCACTCATGTTCTCTTCACTATGTAATATTGTGACGCGTGCGAATCCGCAGGTCCATTCCATTCCCCCTATATACACACACAAACATACATGCACACAAGCAAACAAACACACACACACGCACGCACACTCGTCTTCTCTATCATCCCATCCCACCCCACCCCTCACCCCGACTGAGGCCAGTGATGTGACAGAGGTCTCACCAGCACCGTCTGACCGGCGGGACCCTTCCCTTCCCTTGCCGTACATACCCGTACATACCCGTACATACCTGCATCAGCCCCTTGCCTTTCACCTCGATGCCCCCTGTGGGCAGCCAGGCCTCATCCTTCAGCAGTTCGTACGTGGACTGGCTGACGTGTATTGCCCCCGGGACCCCGGTGCTCTCCATGCGGCTGGCGGTGTTGACCGTGTCGCCTGGATGGGTGGGTTTGGCGCTTTAGGGTTCGGTTAGGCGTTGTAGCGTCGTGGTGTGTCTGTGTGTGTATACGTGTGCGTGTGTACGTGTGCGTGTGTGTGTGTGTGTGTGTGTGTGTGTGTGTGTGTGTGTGTTGATATCTGATCTCCCGGACAACTTAGGGGTTTCAGTAAACTTTAATTTGACGTTACAAAACTCCTAGGGTTTTGTACCTGCTGGGTTTGAAAGGGATATTGCTACTTGGCGGGGAAGGTATGGGCCGGTGAAGGAAACAATTTGCACACTTGCGCACGAATACACCAGGTGACACATCAACAAAAAACGCACATGCTAACCCAATATCTATGTAAGATCTATGTAAGATGTGGAGAACAATATTAGTGCATTACTGCTAGCAGGTTGGAGAGATTGCGGAGGGGAGGGGAGGTACATGCGCCCCCTGGAGCTGTCATCGGGCGAGATGTTGCCGGATGGGCGTGTGTGACAGGTTGAGGGGATGCTGCTGCTGCTGCTGCTGCTGCTGGTGTTTGCTGTTCGCTGCTGATTGGTTGTTTGGTTGGTTTGGCTGGATGGGATTTGGTGTTTCCTAGGAAAATGCGGTGCCTTGCATACACAGAACCCTGCCGTACACACACACGTTTCCCTCACTGGACCATCACTGAACCCAAAATCCAAAACCCAAAGTCTAACCCCCAAAGTCTAAAACCCCAACCCTAAAACCCTTAACCCCAAAGTCCAAAACACAAAGTCCAAAACACAAAGTCCAAAACACAAAGTCCAAACCCAAAGTCCCAAAAAACACAAACCCCAAAGCCCCAGCTCGACGCACCGAAGAGGCAGAACCTGGGCATCCGCTGCCCCACCACTCCGCTGACCACGGGGCCCGTGGCGATACCAATGCGGATCTGTACGGGCTCGCCGTTGGTGGGGAGGGCCACTTGCTTGGCGGCCTCCAGCATGGCCTGAGGGGAAGAGATCCGGACACGGCTTTGGTGGTTTTGTGTTTCATTGGTGGTGGTGGAGTGGTGGTGGTGAAGGAGTTAGGTGACGGGCAAAGTGGGATGAGTGTAAGGATATGGAAGAGCAGAAGCGATGCAGCATGCGGGCTGGGAGATGTGCACCTCCCAAGGTGTGCGAGAAACAGCAGCGACAGCAGCACCAGCAGCAGCTGTAGCAGCACAAGCAATAAGAAGCAGTAGCAGCAGCAGCAGCTGTAGCGGTAAACAGTGGCGACAGAAGCGGTCGAACAGACGGAGTGTTAATTTTTATACCAGTATGTGGAGTACGTGGTGGAGAGAAGTACCTTTGCGAACATGAAGACCTTCCTAGCATGTAGAGGATCCTGTCTTGCTCCTTCCCCACGAACTGCCACCATGCCATCCTCGTCCTCATGCATAAGGCCTCCAGCCACGAAATAGCAGTCGCCGATAGTCTCAACCTGTGTACGACATGTGTACGACATGTGTAGGGGTGGAATGGGGTTATGGAGGCGTCCCCAGTCGGACCGGGGCCCAGGGTGCTCGCCTTCCATCAGGTTTACGGTTTCCCTTACCCTTATCCCCAAATATACATACATACATACACAGAAGCACACGCGGAAAACGGTGAATAATTTCCAGCTCTTTTCCTGGTCATCCATACCTTGAAGACACCGTACTGGTCTAGCATCCTGTCGTATCGGCTGTACAAGTCGTTCAGCATGGACATGACAGCTCTTGGCTCCACCTGCTTGCACATTGGCGTGAACCCTGATCCGGATTGCGTGGTTGGGGTTGGGGTGAGCGGGTGGTGTGGGGTGAGTGAGCGGGGGGGGGTGGTTAGAAAGGGGGATGCGGGTTTATGGAGATGTGCGGGGGGGTGCGTGGGAGGAAGGATATAGCAGGGGGCCTGTGCCCCTGCGGGTCATTCCGCCATCTCACCACCCAATCGCGCCAGCCACCTAGCCCCCCAACCACCCACCTGCCGGCAAACCCAAAGGTACACGCAATTGCAACAGCCACAAAAACGAAACATGACGTGTGAGGAGCAACATTGAACAAAGCCCACAGACAGATAGATGGAATTACAGACAGACGGCAGACAGACCCACAGACAGACAGACAGGCAAACAGACACACAGACAGACAGACAGACAGACAGATAGACCGACAGACAGACAGACAGACAGGCAGACAGACAGGCAGACAGACAGGCGGACAGGCGGACAGACAAGCAGGCAAACGGACAGGTGGAGTTGATGGTCTTACCTTTGATATCGGCAAAGAGCAGCGTCACCTGTACGGCAAAGGACCAGGTAATACGGAGCAGTAGTACGGAAAATAGTTGAATGTAAGTGCTATAGCGTCTGCTGCTGCATCAGCCCCTTACTGCTGCAAGTGTCATACATACATACATTTACATTTATATTTACGTTTACATTTACACACATACACATACATATATCTTGCCCCCGGGAGATCCCGGGATCGATACCCGCTAGGGTCAAAAATCCTTCCGATGGTGGAAGGTATTGCGCCCCTAGTTGATGGACGGTGGTGACCTGGGATAAAGTTAACCTGCGAGCCGACCAGGAACGGAGTTGGGCCGCTGTCGACCCGGCAGATTCCGTTGGATGCTGGTGGTGGGCGCGGAACCTGAGCGATCCACTGAGAAGTTGACTAGGGTGACTGGATGAGGGTGCCCCGAAATACCGGGGAAGGCAGGGTTTCGCAGGGTAGCTGCCACGGGCGAAGATACACCCCCCTGTTTCACACATACATATATCTTTTGAGTGGAATTTTAGAGAGCCTTTGTCCTAGCTGAGTCTCGTGGAGGCGTTCAAGAGGGACTTGAGAGCCATTGTCGTGTTTTCGCTGTTGTGGCGCCCCGCGATTACCCCCCCCCTTCCCCCCCGGATGGATGGATGGATGGATGGAGGCGCTGCTCGGTGGCTGCGTCGTGGTTTGGCAGAGCCTGAGTCGGGGTGGGGTCGAGAACACACAAGGCTAGGCTAGCCGACTTCGGGAAACGCGCTCGCTCGCAAGCGCGAAAGGAAGGTGAGGAAAGGCACCGTGTGCTCACCTCTGCACTCCTCCCGAGATCGCCATCACTTCCATCTACTCAGCCTATCCTCAAACTGCACACAATTTCACTTTAAAAACACACACACATACGCACACGGTGCGCTCACCTGCGGGTGCCACGTGGCAAGTGCCGTACAATTCCGAACCGTTGGTCGCGGCAAGTGGCCTCCTACAGGCTGATGGAGGCCTGCATCGGGCCCCTTTGGCGTCGTCAGAGCCGCCCGCATGGCCTCACAGGTCCACCTGCGATTGTGTGCGTGGGTTGGCGGTGAAAAGCTGGCGGTTGGGCGTTAGCGGCTGGGAGTTCTCTGTGGATGCTAGCTGGGTTGGAGTTGGTTACGAAACTGAAAACACATCTTCTTCGCTCCTCTGTGTGTGTGTGTGTGTGTGTGTGTGTGCGGCCGACAGACCGCCATCCCTGCCTCTCAACGGCCATGAAACACTGTGTCCCGCCTAACCGACTGACCAACCAACTAACCAACTAACGAACCAGGTACCAGCCGCCAGACCACAACCTCCACTTCCCCTCCCCAGCCTCCTCGACCCCAAACCCACTCTTCAGTGATGTAGGCCAAGATGTGACGCGGGAAGAGCTGTTCGAGCAGGCGGTGCTCTGTTTCCATCACCAGCGCGAGGTGTCGCTCCGCGATCACCTTTGCAGTGATATCGTGCTGTTTGCATGTATGTATGTATGCATGTATGTTATGTGTGCGTGTATAGGTGGGCGGGAGGGGAAAGCGGGGTGTGTGAGACGAAGAGAATCCTTCAGAACCGAGCTGTTTGTGTTTTGCGCCCTGTTTCCCCCCTCTATATTCCGGCCCTTATACCTATCGACGGATACGAATACACGAACACATACATACGTACAAACATGCACAAACCCATTTTACGTGCAACAAAGAGTCGCAAGTGCCCCTCCCTGGTAGGGTTTTAAACATAAAACCCTAAAACCCTAAAACCCCTGGGAGACGCTAGAATCCATACATCAAAACTTCCCGTATTCCCATCCAAAAAACCAATTGTCCAAAATGATAATGATTCCCTTTTCCCGTTCTGTCGTACGACACCTGCGCGAGTATTAGCACGGCCTCTCCTGTAACGGGATCCACGGCTCGCGTCGCCCACACCTGTACGGCACCGTGCAGCTGGTGGAGTCAGTACGCCACCGTGGCCATCGTGACGAAGAAAACCGCACACGGAACGAGCGTGTGACGGCACGACGTGAAGGTTGCCCGTCAACAAAAAACGCGATACATCTTGTGTGTGTATGTGTGTATGTGTGTATGTGTGTATGTGTGTATGTGTGTATGTGTGTATGTGTGTATGTGTGTATGTGTGTATGTGTGTATGTGGACACCGGGGAAGGTAGACCTATCATCTGAAATTTGCATTGCACCTGTCGGTACGATGCCGTACCCGATGGTCAAGGGCGGTACGGCGGCCTCGCGCCAGCACGCACTCACCTCATGCCAGCACTCCGGAATATTCTCCAAAGAAGGAACACGCGCTTCGGGGCCCCCAGCTGCCGGCGGCACTGCCTCCACCGCTGCCGCCGGCGGTCGTTTGTCCGTGCCGTAGAGCACACCGCCGACGTCGCCGCCGCCGCCTGCAGTGGTGGCTTGATAGTTGCCGTTGTCCAAGACCGTGAACAGCGCGCCGTCGACGCATCTGCCGCCAGCAGCACCGGGCCGGTGGCGGTCGGCAGCGGCGGCGGCGGCGGTGACGGCGGTGGTGGCGACGGCCGCGGCAGCGCCTGTGACGGCGGCCGCAGTGAAGGCACCAACGCTGCCGCCTCCGCCTCCGCCGTCACGGCCTCCACCATCTGTAGCCCCGCCGCCGCCGCCGCCGCCGCTGCCGCTACCTCGCCCTCCACCTCCGTTGGCATCCCCCGCTCAAGTTCAGCCGCCGCTCCAATCGCACTGCCGCCGACAGCCACTCCATCTACCCCCAAACCAGCAGCAAAAACGGCGAAAGTGGCGGCAGCGGCGCCGGTAGTAGCAGCAACAATAGATCCCGAAGTCTCCTGACTCAGGACAGAGCTGGAGCCGGCGGCGCCGCCGGCTCCGGATGGCGACACAACGGTGGCGATGGCGGCGATGGCGGCTGTAGCGGCCGCCGACTCCAAATTGTGCGCGTCCGTCGACTCCGAAACCACCACTGACTGAGTCTCACGAACCGTAGACAAGTTGGCGCATATGAGCTGCGGCATCAAAGTCGAAAGCGCTTTGGCGGCAGCCGCAGAGCGCCGCGACGGCGGCGGTGGCGCCGCTGCCGCCGCGACGGCGTTAACGCCAGCCCATCCTGGCGCCGTCGCAGCAGCAGCAGCAGCAGCAGCAGCAGAAGCAGCAGCAACAGCGGGGCCCAGTGGCCCGCTGGCGCCTTTCTCCCTTTCACGTCTTTTACGACCGGCGGACGACTGGGATTCTTCGTACGTCACAGAGTCGCCGGCCCTGGCTGCTGTCGTATTAGCACCGCAAATCCGAGTTTCGGCCGTCCAGGCGTTAGAAACGGAATTTGAGTGCGCAAGTGCTTCTGGTTTGACGGCTGGTGACAACGGCGCCGCCGCCGCCGCCGCCGCCGCCGCGAGCGGAGTGAGGCTGCGCGCGTGGGTCAGCGGCGGTGCCGCTGCTGAGGATGCTGCCGTCGCCGCCGCAACTGCCCCGGAGTCCATAACCGCAGAGGCCGATGATGCGTCTACAGGTCCGGCAGGTGTGATGCAGTACGAGTTGTTGGACGCTGTCAGGTAGGAGATTACGGCAGGAGTGTCGCCACCGCCACCGCCGGCGGCGGCGGCGGCGGCGCCAGGTCTTGTCGCGTCGGGCGCCGTACACAGCGCCGCTCCCTCCGCCGAAACCCCTGGCCTGTCATTGAAGAAGGAATGTACGACAGCTCTGGCGGCGTCTCTCTGGTCCAGCTCTGGCGGTGTCGTCGACGCCACCGCCATCGTGGCGAGTTCTCCACAGCCGCTGCCGTCCCGCATTACAGATGCTACTCTCACCTCCGGCCCAGCTCCCAGCTCAATCGGGTCTTTACCGACCAATTGGCCGTCAGCTGCGGCGGCGGAGGCGACGTCTGTGGCAGCGGCGGCGACGGCGTAAGCAGTACAAAAGGGCGACAGTGAGCTAGGCGACAGTACGGCGGAGCCGCCGTCAGGCGCCGCCACCACCTGAAACGAACCATCCCATGGGTCCACCCAATCCTCTGTATTTGTTGACAGGTTGGTTTGCACGCAGGCCTGCTGTGTACGAGGTTGTTGACCGCGAGACGGAGTGTGAAGTTGACTTGTCGTACTGTTGCCTCCGCTTAGATGTACGACGTCCCACAGCTCCTGGAACTGCCGCCGCGGGGCGCTGTCTATGGGATCAGCCGGCAGGCTCCGGCATGCTGTTGACTCCGCCAAAATTTCATGGCGAGGACGTGGGCCAGCGTCCAGGGAGGGCGACCTCGACGACACCACCCTCGCCACGACGGGCAGCGCCACTGCGGAGGACGTCATACCCGCCACCGCCGCTGAGCCAAACGTCCGCCGTACGATTGACGGCGCCGTACGATTGCCGTCGCGCGCCGCCGTGCCCGCGCCGTAGCCCTGCATTGTGAACGCTCGTTGGACCGCGGGCACCTGCGCAGTGGCGGCACCGGCAGTGGCGGCAGTAGCACCGCCGCCGAGCCTCGACG